ACCTACATCGAAAATTGCATGGGAAGTTCCCCACCTGTCTATACAGTACAGGGATTCGATGGATAACGCGGCAGTGCACTTGGGAGCTCGACATTGCCGTAGAGGCATCACAATGACAGTCGTTATCCCTATAACGGAGGAGGCGCGTGGGGAGGGGGTGAATCGGAGGGTAAACAGATAATCCCTGTTCAGCAAGCGATGCCATGCTGAGTCCGCAACTCGGTGGGAAGTTCGCCCTGCGCTTCAGCAAACGCTCCTTCCTCCCGTTTGCAGGGATAATGTTGTGTATACTCTGAAACCAGTTCGGGAAGGACGTCCCATGAACCCTTATCGGATGACTTTTGAACGTTATATCACCACCTCCCACCTAGTTCCTTGCCTAGCGGAAAAAAACCACACATTGCAGGTTGCTGGTAAATTACCTGCTGTCAGGAACAGCAAATATTTTGGAAAAAAAAGCAAATAGCAAGTGAGGAAACTGAGAAAAAGTTCTGAGCACTCCGTTGAGGATACATTCCACGATCGTCGTATGGGCGGGGCTGAGTCCAACACAGCGCTCCCTTCATTGGGGCGACCATTCTTTCCCACATGGTTAGGGTGTGTGCCGCAGAAATGAGAAAAGAAGAGATAGATAGCCTTTGAAAAACTACTGCAAAACGCAGACGGCTCGTTTCTTCCCTGACCTCCCGAGGCAGTGTTATTTCGTCAACCCTGGGACTCATGAGTGAGGTGAGGTTGACGAAGCCCAGCCCGCAGATATGAGAGCGCGTTTTCAATATAGAGGAGAAGAAATTTGTTTTTACATACCTTCGATCCGGCAATCTTCATGACTGCTTTGATGGTTATAGCTTTTTCTCGATTCCTCGGTGGGCGAATACGAAACCGCATAACCTGAAAATGCGGTAGGTCGACGACAGCATTTCCTCCCAGCACAAGGTGGGAGGTTCAGGTGAAGGGCTTACCTCAAAGAAGCACCCATCCGGTGGACTCAGTCGGATCACTTGCTCGCTTTCGAAGGCCGCTTTGTCGACGGTTGAGTGGAACTCAACATCCTCGAATCGAATCCATCGCTCCGTATACATCGGCAGAATGTCTTTTCGTCTTACAATTTCCTGGAAAAACAGCTGGATTTCGTGTTTTCAGGCGGACTTTAGCTTCATGTTGCGGCGACGTGAACTAGTTGGTATTTCCTAGGTGTGACAATGCAATCGTGAAATGTCGTGCTGGTGGGCGTGGCGAGCGGTGACGCGCAAGTTGGACGAGTTGTCCTGCTTAGCGAATGGCAAGAGACAGGACAGTTTATTTTCGCCCGTCATGGCAGTCTGTCTGCGTCCTTGAATTCAGACCGAGTTCCGCCCACTCTAATCGCTTGACACACAATCGCCGCCGATACGCCGCGCGACTGCGCAAACACTTACATTGTCTTGTCCGCCTTCCGTACGTCCTAACTAGCTTGCCAATTCTACACATTACAACGCTTCTACGTTGGACGAATTATGTGCTGGTTTGAATGTCGCGCCAACGGACGCCACCTGCGGCATCGCGCCTGCCTGCCACCACGCGCCGGCAACGCCGCGACCTAATGTCTTACAGCTCTCATTATCAAGTTCCTCACCTTTCCTTGCCTTCTCCTATCGTTCAGTCCGATTTCCAAAAATGGAGAGCCAGTGACAAAAGCCAGGCAGAAAAGTCGTACTCTGGCCCGTTGATCCGACAGTATGCCTTCCTTATCGACATAGGCGGAATACTCGTCGTAGCATAATCTTCCAAAATTCCGACATGTCTCTATGTCAACTCGCGGGCCTCTATGTCTGCAGCGCTAAGCGCCTAAAAATCTTATGGCCTACCTGCCACTTCATCCCTGCTTGTAACACGGGTTGTATCCTCGCCTAAGCCGGGCATTTGAACAGGATATCCTCGATGGTGGACACAAAAGATTGAAGTTCACCATAAAGTAGCGAACCGAACTTCAGCAGGACCGTACATTGAGCGTAGCTCAAGACTAACCCCATCACCTGGTATGTGACCATCAACGAGACGAGAAATCTGCCCTAGAAGTGGGACAATCAACAACCTTGTAATGACATTTCTGAGTTTGGCCCAATTCAACTTTGGCGGGCGAGGAGGGGCATTTTGCACTTTGCCACTTGCCAATTCGTGTTCACTTGTTTTAAAATTTCCGCAGTTAGTCTCACACAATACCTCTGTTACTCTTACGGCTCCACCAGACGGTTGAAAGTGGGCAAGAGCAATATCCCCTCCCCCACCGGAGTCTGAACGTGCGCTTTGAGCTTCTCTAATGAAAGACAACTGGGCGATGCCAACTTTTTCCTTATACAAAACATATTGTAATTTAACTGTGTGAATCTTCCCGTAGACATCGTATGCTTGTAAGGTGATATCCGAAAGTGAATAGCTGGCTTGAAGTAGGAGTTCCTAAATGGGAACATTTACTTTCTAGGTCTTATATGAGCGTCACCATTTGTGATGTTCCGCATGCTTTTATTGTTTGCTGTCTTCAATGAAGGTACATCTCACGACAGCGGATCGAAGGATACTGAAAAGGGCTTTCTTCGCTGACCCACCCGTCCTTCAAACACCAGGTGACATGCATGGCAGCACATAATGAAGGATGACAGGCGGCAACTACGCCCCAAGGGACATTTGTGAGACAGATCAGATGCGAGCATCTGAGAATGGAAAGCTGGCGCTTGGAAGCATTGAATCAATTGAGCTTTTTGAAGGGTGTTGCCCGTTATTGGAGGATTTCTAAGGATATCCTATCCGATTCACGAGTTCTACCAGAGCACCTCGGGAGCGCGCCACATAGTACGGCACAATGGAATGACCTCAGTATTTGCACCGGATGATAGAGGATGCAATAGAAACCCACACCGGAGCAAACTGTTCTTGATAGCAGGGCGGTCGAATTCCAAGGCCACAGATGTAGAGATTCTGGGCCCCGTTAGATAAGCCCTGCCCCCCATAAAAGGAAGACACCGGGGGGGGGTGTAGCCCGGTGTCGAGGAATTCTGCCCTAGCTTGCACCATAGCCTATTCAGTACCTCTGAAGCACCACTAGCACAGTGGGCTTAAGCGCGGTGCTCCTCTGTGCACTCAGTTCCTCCCTGTCAGAGTGCAGCATAGGGATGGGTGAAATGGTGGTACCATTACGGTTCCTGATCTCTTCAGTGCCCTTTTCCCATCCTACCTCACATGTATCGAATCCTACCACCTCTCAGCTCCCATAAGTCCTTTCCCAGTTTCAAATTGTATCCACTCCCGTAGAAAAAAGCCGTTTGCGCGAGGCGGGGATGGAGAGGCGCGTCGCCACCGATCGAGTACCAACATCAATTAAACTTAATTACTTGCACAGTAGTTTTCCAACGACGCTGTACCTTGCTCCCTCCCCTCCAAGTCCTTCAATTCTCAAAGGAGTGTGTATCAGGCAGATCCGAGTTTAGCCCTGTGACGAAAGCGAATCTGAAATTCGTTCGAATTGCGCTCAGTGCTCTACTTAAATTGACGCGGTAGTGGTACAGCAGCCGAAGCCAAGCAGTCAGGCTTATCGCGAGGACGGGCTCGCCTGTATCCGCACTCCTTTCCCCCATGGTTTAGGGTTTGCTGGCAGAGTACTCTCATTCGACGAACAAGCTACGAATGAGCATTCGCTGTATTTCGTTGATCATCACCATTTTCCCCCATATGTATTTCTCCCTAATCTTACTCACCTAGAACCGCACTTGTTTCCTCTTACCATACTCACTGAGAAACTCACCTGTATCGGTTTCGTGTCGGTTTTGGAATTGTAGACGAGGAGATTGTTAGCATTTAGCCGAACATAGCACGGTTTCCAGAAACGGTCGGCCATGAATGTTTTCTTTTTCAAAGCATGTTGAATTGTCTATCCATACTTACCAAAAACGTGTTCCCAGCCAGACACATAAGTGAACGTCCATACCTAACCATCAGCTCCCAACCATCACCCGCAAACTTCGGTGCGAATTCGGTGAGCGGTTCCGAATCGTCTTCGTCATAAAGCGGGGTTGGAGTCTCCATGTCCATACCCTGAAATCGTTCCTCGTAAATAACTGCCAAATTTCAACCATCTTCATTTCGAACCTCGCATTTGAAATCGTCTTCAAACGCATCTGGACGATGAGATGGACTAGTGACGGCGCTACCCCCTTCCGGAGTCGGCGTTGACAGTTCTGGACTTTGCCTGAAACTGAGAAGATGATGGACGCACGAGAAGGGTACACCATCGATGGACGGATTCCATTACAGAGATCTCGTATACCGCTGAGGGAGAAGGGGGGGGGGTCCTACTGAGGGTCTGGAGGAATGCTAGGGAAATTCTCAATTCACTCTTTTCCGTTTCTCGTTTCACTGTGTAGGCATTCCCGCTGCGAACGCTAGATTGGCGTGATAGGGGAGGCTCCAATGTATGGCCGCGACAACCAGGCCTGGTTTCTCCAATAGTTCGCTCGTTTCCTGCTCAACGAAGCAAGGGTGTGGGCAGCCCAAACCAGCCCCACAGAACCACGTACCAGCCGGTAGCGGGCTGAAACGCTGTTTAGCCCTCTTCCCGTTCTGAGCAGTTCTCTAGGAAAAGAATTACCCGAAAACTTACAAATAAAAGACTGTAAAACAGATAAGCGGAATTATATATGAAAGAAGTTCGAGTGGATACCGTGTTCCTCCGAAGAAATCCACATCGTCGTTAGCCTCCTTTTTCAAACGAGCCTCTTCAGCCTTGGCTTTAGCATCGGCTACAATGTCCTCCACCGGCCGTACAGCAAACGGATCGTAGTCCTTTAAAAAATGGATTTCATGAAGAGTGTAAGGAACTACTTACGTTTAGTAGTAACGTACCTCATCTATAAGGTCCTTATCAGGAGGTGCAAACGGATCCTTTTCCGGTTTGAACTGGGTTGGGATGATGAATGGATCATAGCTATCCTGAGTAGATAGATCATTTGCATTGTTGCTGTCCTAGAAGTGTTACAAGTGGAAGCTAATTCTCAATCATCTGGACTCCTCGGCCAGACATCGCCAAGCATTGAGCTTGAAACTCAACCCCCGTCTCTTGGAATCTGACAAGTTTTAACATGTTCCAGACCGCGTGACACACATGGTGTGTCATAATTTTTCCCACTGCGCTGTTTTATATGGTTTATTTACCATTCAATTCATGTTCTAAAGTTATCAGAACATGCTTCCAAATACTTAATTCGCTGCTGGTGCTCGTAATGAAACCTGGTCGTATGAGTATAGCTTCAGGGACCCTCCTAAGGCTTTTCCTGAACTCCTGTCAGCACAGGAACCATAAGCTCAAAAATCCAAGTTCGAAAATACTACAAGATGCGATACGTAGGATTAACACAGCTTGCAAGTGAAAATATACTTCTTATTAGAAGAAATGCTCACTTTATTGCTGAAGAAACCGCTCTCACTAGGTGGTAGTTCAGGAGCCGAAGACTCGAAGTCCGCCCATGCTGGACCCGTATGTTTCGGATCTTCCGGTTCCCTGCAAAGAAAAATTCTCGGATTTGGTACGATAGTCGCGAAATTTCAATGGGAAGGAAGTGATAGGTAAGGCAGCGTTCATAATTCGCGATGGCGCTCGTGAATAATTAGGGCGCTGTGGCCCCCACAATCCATCAACCGTACAGGGCGCCTCACCCATCTGGGGACGAGATATACCAGCGCTCTTATACTTACAAGACCTCTCCTTCCGTTTGGAACCACCTGTGGTCCCTGTCATCTTCATGGTCTCTCATTCTTTCACTCAGGCTTCTTGCCGTCCCCTCCTAGGACTCTCGCCTATTCCTGGGGCCTCATTCAGGGCGTCTCCAACGATTTTGTCCACTCTTTTCTCTTTTCGTCGTTGCTAAGTCAACTGGTATCTAGGACTCATATTTGGGCACCTATAGGTCACAATTACGAATTGTGCCCTTGCGATGGAAAGCGAGTTCGTCGTTGTTTATCACCAAATAAATGAGATGACTTCAATAGGGGGGGGGGGTGCTGCCAGAGCGACCATTTCCCACCAGTGATGCCATCCTGGGCCGCAACAATCGAAGAGTGTCCTGTTCTAGAACCATCCACTCGACGCCTGTCTCACGCCCTATCGGATGGAATAGGCCAACTCAT